CCAGTTGATAGCACGCAGAAAATGGCCCTTTTGCACACCCACACCACAACAAGATGCAAGACAAAGCTATTTAGTCACTGCATGCTGTGTTTGGGATATTCTGCAATAATGGCAAGTTTTAGTGTTACAGATTTAAGAGTTAGAGTCGAGGCAGGGTTAAACTGTATGGCAACAGTGACCCGGATATCCTGACAAGGCAAAGTGGAACAGGACACAGTGCCAGCTGTCATCAACCACAGGCATAACCAGCAGATTTGTTGAAGGCAAATATAACACTCCTCAATAGATATTTGCAGCGCAGCAGTAGCAACAAAGCCAAAGTGGCACAGATAGCTTGCTAAATTCTCTGACAAACAAGGGTGAGATAAGGACAGGAGCTGTGCGTATATACATATACAAAACCTGATTTAATGGATGCTTTCTTTGCAACTGCTTTGCCGATAATCTCAACATTATCTCAAGGGGAAAAGAATGGCAGAAGGACAATCTGTGCCTTTTAAAAAGTACACAGCAAAGACATCTGGCCATCATGTTTGGCTGTCAGTATCCTCTTTCTCCTCCCTCTCTAAAGGATAAACCAGGTCAAGGTCTTTCTTCAACATGCCAGTCTTAAAATAGCTTGGTGTCATGCCTTCTCTACATGAAAGGGCCTCGGGATATGAATTGTTGCAAAGCAAAAAAAACAAAACAGCAACATCAGGGAGAGAGTGATAATAATGGAAGACTCACAGTTACACATATAATATAGTACGTGGAGCCTGACTAATCACGGATACTTTACATTCTTTACTTACAGTATGTGTGAGCATGTGTTTTGGCGTGGCAGAGGTTGAGGAAAAGAACAGCCAGCACACCAGACAAAGTCAGAAGAGCAGGGACACAGTGCAAGAAAGACAAGATAGAAGAAAATAAAAAAAATAAAAAAATAAAAAATCAGCGAGAGCTGATGTTTAATCACATCACAAGATGTCCCAGTCCTCTTTGAGGGGATTCCCAAGGCTCTTTTACAGCATCATCAGCAGACTTAAAGAGCACATCAAGTCTAGCAAGCATGTACTCACTTTCTCTCTGCTCCATTTGCACATTAGCTGCACTGTCCTTTCACTTGACAAAGACAGCTCATACCACAATGTTATGCCATTTGTGTCTTAATGCAGCTTATGGGCATAAAAAACCTGATCATGTTTTAAGGGCTTTTCCCACAGAGCATTACACAAATACAAAAGGGGGTAGCTATAAATTTTAGCGCTTTCAACCATGCAGTCATAACAGTTCACCTAAACAAGTCAAGTCAAAGTGAGGCCAGGATTTCCCTATGTAATATCCTCACATATCCCTGATAGAGACAGCCGTTTAATCCAGAGAATAGCTAATAATCTTTATGACATACAATCTTAACTCTTGCCCTGAGCCTGGACTATTAAACACACCAGCTGTTTACTGTTATGAGTCAAGTTGAGCAGGGACATTCAAGTTATGACTGTTTACGTTAACATACATTCGCATGTATACACAGTGGTGCACACAGAATTACCTTTACTGCTCGTCAAAAGGCCTCAGGTGGACAGGTAATGAAATACAGTGTAAAATGAGGTGGAAACATGATAAAACTAGAAGAGCAAAAGGGAACTCAGTGAAACTCGACTGAAGTTAACTGAAGAGACATATGACGAATCACAAGGGGAGATGGCGCAGAGTCATGCTTGTGCAAAACTGTCCATTTGAGCTGCCTTTAGTGTTGTGAGGTTGTTCTGTCTGTCTGTCATAATGTAATCAGTCCGTCTAAAGACGCAGAGAGAGCAAAAGCAGAGCCGAACCAGCCTGCCAGAGAGGGGCGGGGAGAAACAGCAGCTTTTACCGTAAGCCATGAGTCACTTCAGCCCACAGAACTGGATGTCTGCCATGCTAGTTCTCTCCTTCTTTCTTTTATTCCTTCTCACTCAGTCTTTCTATCTATGCCAGGTCAGGCCCACTGAGGCAGCCAGCTAGCTTGCTAGCTAGTGCAGTGTTGCTCCGCCTACAAAAGCAGGAAATACTGAAGGGATGGTCAGGAAAGCTCAAGAAAGAGTAGGAGGAAGATGATAATGGAGGAGGTGGTGGAGGTGGAGGCGGAGACAGAGACGTGGACAGGATAAACATCTTATCACCATGGAGATAAGGCTGCACTCAAACAGCAGACGACACACATTTATGAGAAAGTTTGTGCTGCTCCTCAGGCATTGAAAAGTGTCCAGTGCCCCTAAAGTGTCACCAAAGAACACCTTTTTAGGAAATAACTGTTCCCTGCCGCCACTTAAAAACACATAAGAACCTGATTTACTGCCAAACATAAAACCACAGGAAGGAGAGTACACAGACACACAAAGATAGCCAGCTGTGTTTACTTGCCATCCTTTACCCCAGTATTCCTACATCCACATCCCTAATTCCCAGACAGGCTGAATGAAAATAAACAATAGCCAGCGGCACCTGTGCATTTGCACAGCCTTGCAGGTACACCGCATGATTACAAGCACAGTGCCTTACAAAAACAGGAGTGGATACAGCCATTGCTTTTTAAGAATGCCAGAACTCTTTGGCACAGCTGAGATAAGTCAAACAGATATTAGTAGAGATCTTTGAAGAACCAACACTGTTGTTGTTCTGGCATGACATACTTTTTGACTAAGTAGCTGTAGCCAGCCAAAGTTATTATTGGAGTAGTGTTCTACATGTTGCAACTAAAACTGCAGACTTGACAGTGACTGATGGGATACACTCAAATTTGCTCGAGTACAGACTGAACCAAGAGTTTACATCCTGCAGCAATGAGTACCTGCACTTAGGGCTGGGCCATATTATACCGTTCACGGTAATACCGGTATAATGTTAGGCAACGATAGGAAAATGAAATATCGCGATAGAATGGGAGTAAAACGCGCATGCGCAGTGCCTTTGTTTTCATACGCACATGGCCGATTGTTGAGTGAAACAGATGAACCAGAATTGGTTTGTAAAAATGGTGCAACTTCGTGATGTGGAACTGGTTTGGTGTTTGTCCGTCAGATACACAACAAAGCACATTTTTTTGCAGAACATGCAAGCGGCCGTCGTTATTGTCGTATTTGTCGGACTAAGATGCTCTTAAATCTGGGAGTAATCTGGGTCCTAAACTCCGTATGCTTCAGGTCAAACGAACACTGCAGCATCACTGAGAGTTAAAAACTGTCTAAATTCTTTCATCTTTAATAAAACGATCAGCATTGCTGCTTTACCAGGTGTAACTATAAAGTTTAACTTCCAGGCATCCATGAAAACAAAGTTATTACATTTAACGGAGTTAGAAGTTAGCAGGAAGCTAGCGGAAGTTAGCTCGCTAGTTTCGCTAGTTACCTAAGCATGATATAGCATGTTCTGACTGAGAGATTTCTGAAAAAAATCAAACGTACAGCTCTGCTATCACTTCCAACATAAATGAAGACAGGAAACTAAACAGCAGTGACGTTTGTAGGGTTACTGAAGTTGGGCTAGCTGGTATATAATGATGTGCTACGTGATCGCTAGCGACACAGCTATGTTAGCATAACATAAACAGTGAAGCTGGAGGACGAACACTAACACTTTTCCACTTATAAAAGTTAACGTGAAGGTTCTTCATGGTTAGAGACAAATGCAATCGCATGGCAGGATGCTGTAAACGGACCAAACTTCAGTCAGGAGAACAACTGAGATAATCCATCCACAATACGAGGTTAGTCATTAATATACTGCAACAACATGGGAATAGAGCAGCTGCCAGAGAATTCAACATTAATGAATCAATGGTACAGAAGTGGAGGAAGCAAGAAGAATGAGTTTAATAAAGTTTGATTTATCTGACTGCTTTGTTTCGCTTAATGTGCCTTATAATCCCGTGCACCTTATGGTCCGAAAAATACGTACTGCACACTGCAGTTTAATGTTGCAAAGCACCTCTTTTTAACTTCAGTGGATATTATACATGGTTATGCTCAGGATATGTCAGCCCATTTCTACTGGAAATGCCTTTTGGTTAAACTTTCAGCAAGGAATTTGCATTTGCACTGTTACATTTTTATAAAGCTTTAATGTACATAAAAACCAGCTTCTTGTTTAAGTGAAAATAAATGGAAGGTTGTCTTTTTGCGCTAGTAATGTTGTGGAGTTGTATTTTGTCTCGCATCAATTATATCGTCAGTTATATCGTTATCGCAAATTTTCAAATATATATCGTGATAAATATTTTTGGCCATATCGCCCTGCTCTACCTGCACTCTCTAATTGTATTAAGTAACGTCAACTTTATTTTGTCTTGTTTGATTAAATTTTAGTGATGCAGACAGTGAGAGCAAGAAAGTGTTGTCCATGCAGAAGCCTGATTAAAATGTGTAGCATCTTACTATAATACACAATCTGTATGTGTGTTTGTTTCCTTGTCCATTTACTCCTCTTACAAGACCAGGATGAGGGGGCACACAGGTACATTTTAGGTCCCTGAAGGTTTTTAACTATATCAAGTCTTATGACCATGTCATGTTGCCAAGCAACAACCTAGCAACAGGGCTAAAATCAACTGTTTTTAACATTTGTGCACCTATAAAAAGCATCATCCAATTTTATTTCACGATATCTAATTTGTATCCACAAAACATTATATATGACATGTTATGATGCCATCAGGTTACCTGGCAACCACCTAGCAATGTGCTAAAATGAAGAAGCATTGCTGCTCCCACAACACATTATAAAAGCAGCGTATCATTTTTATCCCATCACAAGCAGGTCAAACAATATTATAGGAAGTGCATCATCTATATGTATAACATAATGTAACTCCACTGAATTTCACTCCTCATTCTCAATTTATATCCACTTCATGTGGATAAGCTGAATATATCATCAGTAAAACAAGTAATTCCAAATAACCTCTTACGATTTATGTAATTAAACATCACAAGATTTTTTTTAGAAAACATTAAATGTACTTATTCAAACCAACAGACCTGTGGGCAAGCTGGCTGCAGTGGAAGAGGAGCAGGAAAGAGAGGCGTGTATGGCTACTGTTGCTGCTGCAGGTTCACTAGTGGTGGGACGTCCCGTGGTGATGAGAGGCAGCGTCCCCAAGGGAAGAGGCTGGCCCCGCTTTAACAGCTGCTTGTGCTCCTGCTGACGAAAGCGTGGGGGCACCTCTCTGGGCGGGTAGCGCTGCTGGAGCGGAGTCTGGGACTGCTGTGCTGTCTGCGGCTGACCTCCGGAGGGGATGCGCTTGCCATTTCCACTGCTTGGGGGTACAGATGGGATGGCACTGGGGTTGACGGGGGGAAGAGGAGGGCTGGGGTTGAGCTTGGTAGAGTCTGGCACTGATGAAATGGGTGGGGATAAGTAACAACAAGAAAACAGAAATGCAGGGATGAGGAAGGGTAAAGCAGAGCTGTTGAGCACACACTAGTACTAAAATACTATATGATTAGTTGCAAATGGACTGGTCCATATTCCAAATAAATAAATAAAATCACTCGCTAGAGACCGTTTATATGACTTATATCTGACACATAACACATTTAAAGAAAACTAAAAGGAACTGCTGAATACTGCACTCTTCCTCTATAAATTACTGTCAGTAATTCATTTTAAATGTTTTCTGTAAAGCTACTGTGGTTAAGCATTTCATTCACTGACTCTTTTCAAAGCCCTGGATACTTTTGGAAGATTTCCATGAAGTTAAATTCAGAAAGGCTAAAGGAGCAGAAATCTATAAATGCACAAGATTTACTCAAGGCAGTGGTCAGTCCAAACAGATGGTTGTTCTTTGGAGAACCACAGGACTGTAATAACCTCGGGGTGGCACTATAAAAGAAAAAATGATGACTTTAGAGATGGCCAAGACACCCAACTCTCTCACAGCCTGTCATGGTGCCGGTTCACAGATTATATGTGTTGAAGAGGTCAAGTACCAGAAAATGGACTTAGACCTGCCTGCTACATTATTGTGGGCTATTGTCTCCATCAGGACGGTGCTGTAAAGAGCGCTGAGCACCATCAACATAAGCTGTTCATGGTTTGTGGCAGGTTATGGCCCCTGAAATGATCACCTCTCAGCGCTCTACAAAAGCAGTTAGTTATTAACTGCTTGCACGGCTGCTGAAGCCAAGTGCTCTTATCCAACTAGCTTTAGTTACCCTTAGCAACAGAGTGCGAGGCTCTCTCTGCTCTGACCAGCCATTTCTCATGGTCGAAGCCCTGCAGGGTTTCACATGAGCAGCGAAGCCTAAGAACTGCACACAATTTAAAAAACCTCCAATAACATTTATTCATGCATTCGTATTTTTATTTTTTTCAATTGAGGGACATTAGAAGTTGGGAACAAACATTGGTATATCATCACTATAAAACTGGTGTGTTACAAAAGAAAATTAAACTCCAATAGTCACTCTCTTCATCCTCAGAGGAAAATATCTAGCCTCTCTGCAGCTTAAATGCATCATCATATCTACAATCTTGGTGTCAACTGTTGCATGCAGCTACCAGGCTAATGTGTACTTGAGACGTTTTATTGGGGG